GCATGGCCCACAAAAGGGTGAGTGAACTTGGCATAGCCACTTCCTTCTCGAAATTTCACCCTGCCCACAAAAGGACAAAAGGGTGAGTGAGTGAGTGAGTGAGAGTGAGTGAAAGTGAGTGAGAGTGAGTGAGAGTGAGTGAGTGAGAGAGTGAGTGAGTGAGAGTGAGTGAGTGAGAGTGAGTGAGTGAGAGTGAGTGAGTGAGAGTGAGTGAGTGAGTGAGAGTGAGAGCGAGAGTGAGTTTGAAGCAGCGCATCCCCGTGTACAGACGAGGTATATCATTCGCGTGTACAGATGAGTCACTTTTCGCGTGTACAGACGAGGCGCCGGCCTCCTACCTGGATCCCTTCTTTTCTTCCTTCCCTTCCCTTCCCTTCGACGAGGTGACCAGGGACCAAGGGGACCAGGGGACCAAGGGGGCCAGAGGACCAAGGGGACCAGGGGACCAAGGGGACCAGGGGACCAAGGGGACCAGGACGACCATGTGGACCAGGAGCAAGCATACAAGAGACGGGAAAGGAAAATAGTTATTTCTTGATTAGTTAATTAATTTGTTGTTGATTACGTAAATAGTTATTTTTTGATTTAGTAATTAATTTCTTTTTGATACACATGCCCCACCTCAAGCTGCGCAAAGAATGTTTAGCGAAACGGCCAAATCGTGAATGCTGAGCCTGTACTCAGCTGGGCAAGCCGACCTTTCTGTAGGTCAAGCTTCACTTTGTGGGGTGTGTCGTGTTAAAAGCCAACATAAAAATCACGGCGCGGCCTGACCGCAAAGCTATATATGTACACAATGTTTTCGAGTCGCCAGCGGCACGCCCTCTGATAAGCCTGGGTTGGAAACGTCAAGTTCAAAAAGAAAGGCTTGCGTCAGACATGTTCAAGCAGGCATATCGAAATAAAACAGGTCAGATGAGCAATTCGGTCACGGTCAGAGTCTTCGGCTGCTTTTAGTTCCCGGAGCAGAGCAGCGGCTTGCCAAGCATCATCGCGCGTGGTCGTATACACATTGATATGGATGGCGCGGTTTCCGATATCGGTCAACGCAAGTAGCAGTGGAGGAAGTATGGGCGTGATCAAGTGCAGGCGCTCTTCCCGTCGCAAGCTATGTACATAGGTCGATGTCTGTCACAGATTCAGGTGTTCGCGCGTGGACATCGAGGACTGCAGCCTATATAGGGAAGGACGAACGGTTGTGGAGTAAGTGCTCCGTTGTTTGCACGATTGTTCTTTGAACGGCAAGAAGAGTTGAAGCGACGGGGGGAGAAGAGAGTTCCATGCGTAAGAAGAAGGTCAGGCCCGAAGAGGCGGAATGGAATGGGAACGCAGCAGCAATAATTGTGACACGTTGGCGTAAGCTTTTTGCGTGAAGGGATTCGCTACCAAGGAACGATCGCTCGGAGAGGGTTGCCTGGTGAGTTTGACATTGACGCGACGGCAATCCCGTGGGAGTTGCCACTTGATTGTGAAAAGAACGGTAGTATGGACAACCAGAGCAGAGTGTAGTTACTAAGTTCGCGCAGTTTCTTTGAGTCAGTCTTGCTGTTGTTTCCCCATTCGAGGCCGTCAATCGCGCGCAGCGTGCGCCAGGCATCGTGTTCGGTCGTCGCGAGCAGATGTTTCCTAAGTATATATGTTTCTCCCACGCGATATTTGCTGAGCTAGACATTCCGATTATACGTTCCAGACGTTGAGGTCATGTGACAGGTTGAGGCCCCATGTGAATCAGTTTGGCCAGAAGACAGGTGGACAGCTGTGAGAAACGGTCAAGCCAACAAGTGGCCATATCACCAAAGAAATTCGAGCTCCAGACTTTTGCGTAGTTCCGGAACTCTGAATTTCGGTTATACAATCATGCTTTGTCATTGCGTGTCAGCGCGCAGCCATGCCCCTTCGATCTAGAGATGATGAGCCCATTGCAGGTAGAGGTAAAGTCAGAAGAACCATCCATGTACGTTATTGACCAAGAAGCAGTAGCCGATGCGCAAGAAAGAGGATGAAGGGTTGAAGCTCTGGCAGGACAACCCTGCGCTTCACTGAGTGATTATGTGGTTAGTGCGCGGCGATGTTGCGTTGCGTTGAGTTTCCCAGCGTTGACAGCCCACAAAAATTCCGATGCAGAGCGGCTTGCGCGTGTGAAAGAAAAGCTTTGTCACGCTTTGTCAGTTCATGCTTTTCTCTGTCGATGGGAACAGAGGTCAGTGTTGGATTTTGATGTTGCTTCGGATCTTGTTTGGAGACCGCTTGAGTGGGAAGCGTTAAGGCGGCTGAAGAAAAAGTGTGAACAGTTCTGCTGAGATCCACAATAGTTCCGAGATCGAATGCTTTACAGCTTTAGATGTTCCGATTTGTTTGCGACGCAGCTTTACACAACCCAGTCAGCATGGGGGCGCTAAGCTCCATCCTGGCGGTGTACACACACGCTTCTGTGTACGCTGGACAGTGTTGCATGGACTCAGTACATCAATACATACCCCGCTATGAGTTGACTGCAGCGCAATCACACGATACTCACACACTGTAGCTCTTACCAAGGACGTCTACCAGGTATCCCGGTTGGGAGGAACTCCTTCAGAATCTCTGAGAGAGAAGAGAGGAGGTCAGACACCTAGACTTAGATCATGGGTTTCGTGAAGCCAGTTCACGCGCATAAAAGTGGCCAGGACGAGGATAGTGCTTGTTTTGACAGCAGGCGCATATGGAAAGGCCAGAATGTGGGAGCCCAAGCTGCAACATTTAAGCTACCCGTGGTCGTGCCTTCAATGCATCTTTGGAATGGCGAAAAACTTTGAGGAGTCAGCGCAGGAAGTGACGGATCATCCAGTGTATATCAAAGATCCATAGGTCCATTTACCGAAGACCCGACACCAGAACCCAGGTCAACCAGGTATGCGCTTCGTTGCATTTGCAAATCACACCACAGAACCCTCCTGACGGTTGCCAAATCCGCCTGTTAGCTGAACAGGTAAAAGCAACAAAACATTCCAACAAAACGGATTTGGGGCGGGCTTCACTGTGCTGCCAACTCTGCTTCACCTAGGGAACGCTTCTTTACCTTTTGAAAGGATTAGATGAACACCGGTTGGTTGGGAGATTGTCGTGCGCTTATTAAACGCTCAACTCACTTTGCTTCGGTCCAGCGTCTGCCTTGTTAAAGTCGGCGCATCCCAATTCCAAAATCTCCAGCTTTGGCAGGTCACAGTTCCTACTGGCCTTAAAGGCTGCGGTCTCGCCTCGATCATCTGTCACATTCGGATCTTGAAAGTTGTGCAAGTGACCTGAGGCTGGTGTGGCATTGTGGCTGTGATGCACACCGTAAACACATCCTAATACATGTGTACTGCAGACTGCAGGAGTAGGCATCTTCAACAACGATCACTGGGCTCGAACAGACCCACGTGCTTTCTGTTGGCTGCTGTTCTTTGTGACATGGGACATCACTATTATCACCTAGCAGTCCTGCCTCGAATCACTTGATCAGCATCGGCACCTTCCTGCCCTGCCAGCTTCAAAAACTCCCTCGTCTGATCCTCTGTCTCTCGGCTCTGCGCGGCAAAGTTTCCAAGGGTGATTGTCACGCGCTCTGGCTTGCCCAAAGCTTCCCACGAACCACCCTGCAAGAGCTTCTCTCCTCGTCGACGCGCCAAACAGTCGGTAAGCAACTTTCAAGTGTGCAGTGTGCGTCAAGAGAAAACAGTTTCATGGACGCTTCTCAAGGAATCAAAACATCGAATCTATCTTCTATTCAATATATTTCACTATATTTCACTTGTCAGCGTGGCCCGAGACTCCATCAGTCATGTGAATTGTAAAATAGGACACTGATTGACCTTGCAGTTGGTAGTATTCCCGCAAATACTGCCTCACGCAATGGACAAAGTCTTGTTGAAGATTCAACTCAGAGATGGGAAGCGCCATCTCTTCTCCGCTCAAGCTCGCAAGCACCACAAACCCGAGAAGAGACTGCCACTGTGCTCTTTCCTCTGCCATTTCAGGGACCAAGTGTATGGGCGCATTGCCTCCGGTGTCTCTGATGTCAATCCTGGCCTTGTGCTGGACCAGGAGACTCACCGCTTCAAAGCGTCCGGCAGCAGCATGGCAGTGCAGGGCTGTTTGGCCGCTCTGATCTGCCCAATTGATGTCTGTCTGGACTCTTACCAGCAGCCTGACAATCTCAGGGGTCAAGTCTTCCGCGCGATAGCACTCAGGAAAACATGCCATGGCTTCGAGTGAGCCCACCATGCGCCTCCCATGCGCCAAACGAATTGGACTTGGAGATTCCCCCACCCGGCAAGCAACATCTGCTTTTGCCCGGCATAGCATTGTCGTAAGTCTGGCTTGGTTGCTTAGCACGGCCATGGTCAACGGACTTTGTAAGCCCAAGTTTGGAGAGTGGTATGTCTCATTCACATCAGCCTGTGCTGCAATGAGCTCACTGACCCTGACATACCCGGAGTTCTTTCCAGCCAGTGCCTCCTGCAAAGCGATCATCAAACCCGTGCGCTCCCCTTGGTTACGCGCCCTACCAAAAGGTATGGAGCTGTTACTGCCTCTGAGGGGGTAGTCATCAATGCAATGGCACAAAGGGCATTTGTCGTCTCGCGAGCAAAAGTCATGTTGGAAGTGAAGGCAACGAGGCCCATCACAACTCCTGTAAGGGCATTGTTGGTTGTCATGATCACACTCACTTGGAATCCGCTGGTAGAGCTCAGCCACTTCTGTCATGTTCCTCGGCAACTGTGGGCGCGAATTTTTCCAAAGCACCTTGGCCCTGTCTGCTCCAAAGGTGGCGCACATGCTGGGATAATTGTGAAACTCGTTGTCCACAAGCTTAAAGGTGGCACAATATGTGCAGGCACGTTTGGCATCTGTCCAGTAGTTGGATCCGACCACAGGCCCATAGTATTCGATGAACTCCCTTCGTGTATAACGCTTGCCATCCGGAGCCACGCGCTTCTCCTGCTGGGCTCGATCCTCTTCATTGGCAAGTGGTTTTTGCCGAAGCGGAGCTGAGTTGTCCAAATCCGCACCGATCAAGCCACTGGGGCTGGATTGCAGCTCCCGCTGGTCGCTGTCCTCTGCAAGATCCAGCTCCTTGGTAAAGTCCGCGTAGCAGTCGAGGAGGTAGCGTTGATCATCCTGACAAAGAGCAATGCTTTCGTCACAATCGCAAACCCAGAAAGGCAAATGTAGTCACACTTGGAATTTCACAAGTCGCGCGACCATATACAGTTGGGGAACATCAGTTAGACTATGGATTCATTGAAATATATAGAGTTTAGTATGAAAGAACTTGAAATAGAATATGGAACAAGTAGTTTCAATTAGAGCACAGATAGGTTATGAATATCTAAGAAACCATTGAGGAAGTATGTCGTTATGATTGTTGCTGTTGCTGCAGTTCTCGATGATGTGGACCGAGAAGCGCTTGCTCGCTGGTTTGCTTACTGTATTCTGCTTTGTTGCCGTGTAAAGTCTTGCTTTGTACTCTATGTGCGTTGTTGCGATTCTTGTGACATGGTCCATGCCGCAAAGAAAAACGGCGATGCGAAACTCACGTTTGTTGAAGAACAGCGTCGCCAAGAGCTGCCGCACTCCAACAACATCTGTTTTCTCAATTTCAATCTCCTTTCTTCTTATTCTTCTTCTTTCTCTCTTTGTAGGGTCTGTATACTTCCCAAGCAGTTCTCGCTCCAAGGCCCTCACCAAAGGCCTACGGCCTACGCCACATCTCAAGAGCCAACTCTTCACTCAGAGCCATGGCCATGGATCCCGCCAAAGTGAATGAATTCAGGGCGCAATACATGTGAATGATTTCTTTTGTTTGGTGTCTTGTAGTTGTGTAAGTACGGACCGTTGGAAACATATTCTAACTGTAGTCTCTCCATCTGCTGTTGTTCCAAAGCAAATAAATATACAATACAGTAGGCTTCGGCTGCAAACTCGAATAGGCAACATATTTAAAGAGGTATGATGTGTCAATAAATGCGAAGTTTGTATTGTAGCTGTGGAAGTAAGGACCGTTGGAATATATTCTCACTGCAGTCTCTCCATCTGCACTTAAGTAGCCAACTAATATACACTACAGTAGGTTTCAACCTCCAACAAGCAACATATTTAAAGAGAAATGGTGTGGGTGATAAATGCGAATGATCTCTTCAGTTTGGTTTGTCTTGTAGCTGTGGAAGTACGGACCGTTGGAAATATACTCTGTCTGCAGTCTCTCCATCTGCATTTGCATAGCAAATTGTATAATATTCAATACAGCAGGCTTCAACTTCTAGCACGCAAAATGTTTAAAGAGAAGTGGTGTGTGTGTGTGTCCATGAATGTGGATGATATCTTCCATATGGGTTGTACTGTAGCTGTGGACGTACGGACAATTGGAAACTTCTAAGTCTCCCCATCTGCATTTACATAGCCTATGAATATACAATACAGTAGGTTTCAATTGCTGAAACCTCTAACAAGCAACATGTTCGAGGAGATATGATGTGTGTTTGCATGCTTGCCCAGATCGCTGCATGCAAATAAGCCGCGGTCAAGTTATTAATGCAAGATATTCAAGATCAGCTAACAAGTCTTTGAAGCACAGCGTCCCCATGAGCCGCCGTATTCCAAACACTTGTTAGTCTCATGGGTGTGCATACCCTACTGTATGCAGTTGTGTTTGCCGTTGTGATTGTTGCTGTTGCTGCTTCTGGATGATGTGGATCGAGCAATGCTTGCTTGTTTGTTTTTGTGCGGTACAGTATCAGTTTATTCTTGTGGTTCTTGTCTTGTAAACACAGTGCCCGTATATTGTATCTGCGCTCATATTCTAAGTGCATTTGCGCACAGCATCTCTGATCGGTGTCTGATTTTAAGTCCTCGAAAACTATATTCTAATATATTCTATATAGATATACAATGATATACATACACCCGCAGCGAGCCTTTTTGGCACTTTGCAACTTGCAAAAGCTTTGGAAACAAGGTGTTCAAAGAGTTCAATCTATACCTAGGAAAATAAAGGATTTGTATACCATCGTATAGCAATATAGATACCAGATTGTACCGGGACACTCTAAGACTTGACTTGACCATTGATTAATGACTCCTAAGGATGGCTAAGAGGCCATCTATGTACCCCCCCTCCTGGGTCCAGGTCTGCTGTTCCTTGCATCCTATGAGCTAAACTGGATTGTCCCATAGAGTGATGACTGGTAGGACTAGTTTCCTCCAAGCCCGGTCCAAGCGGTTGACTCCACTTGCCATGTGAGCAAGTCGACTAGTTTCCTCTTCATGGCTTCATGATGATGAAAACATGATCGTGATAAACACCCAGACATTTCGGTCCTTGCTCGGCCCTAGGTAAACTCTGACTCACTAACAAGGCTTCATGATGATTCGATATGATTCATGTATTTCCTCCATGAGAGCATCATCGCAAAACAAATTGCCTTCCAAACAAGTCGCAGGATGAGCTCGTTATATGCAGCAATATATATATATATGTATGTCTTTCTAATCGTCGCTTATGCGACATTCCACCGGAAGCCAACCGTCAGTCCTGTGCAAAAGCAAAGTCGGGGTTGAGCAAGGCACTCTGCAGAAAGGCGTCACCTCTGTGTGCAAGAACGTGAGCTAGCTCCTCCAAAACGATCTGGATTTCCACACTGTAGCCATCACCAGCAAGAGACCGATGCATTAGAAATGACCGTTGGAGGTACTGCTGGGCTTCATGGAAATCTCCGGCCTCCACCATCAGGTAGCCAAGCATATGCAGTGTAACAGCTACTCCGGAGTTGTCACCGATGCCATAAAGAGCACGTTGCATTGCCAAAGATTCTTTCAACAACTGCAACCCCTGCTTGATATCTCCTTTCTCCCCTACTGCTGCACCAAGCTGGTGCAGAGTGGATGCAATGCCAGGATGATCGACATCACCATACAAGGACCGCTGCATTTTCAAGGAGTCTCTCAAGTACTGCAAAGCTTGCTTCAAGTCCCCTTTCTGGCCGGTCACAGCACCAAGTTCACTCAAAGTGGCTGCAGCTTGAGGGTGATCTCCTTCATGGAACCTCTGTGTCACCTGCAAGGAATCATTGAAGTACTCCACGCCTTTTCGCAAGTCTCCGGTCATGGTGGTTACAACACCAAGCTGGTGCAAAGTGGCTGCAATACCAGGATCAAGACTTTGAGAATTCAATGACTGGCGCATTTGTAAAGATTCCTGCAGGTATATGAGGGCCTGCTTGAAATCTCCCGTCTGAGCAGTGACAGCACCTAAACGGTGAAGAGAGGCAGCAATTCCTGGATTGCCACGCTCGAAGAATGACCGTTGCATTATCAAGGCCTGCTCTAGGTATTGCACCGCTTGCTTCAAATCTCCTGCCTCCGCTGTCACAGCACCAAGCTGCTGCAAAGTGGAGGCAATCCCGGGATTGCCGCGGTCACTCAACGACCACTGTAAATGGAGAGATTCTTGCAAGTTCTGAAAAGCCTCTTTCAAATCACCTGCCTGAAGTTTTACTGTGCCCAGCTGGTACAATGCCAGTGCAATTCCTGGATTGCTACTATCACCATTCAAAGAGCGCTCTACCCGGGCTTCTTCTTGCAAGAACTGCATGGCACGCTTCAAATCACCACGGTCCGAACTCACAGCACCAAGTGCGTGCAAAGTGGCTGCAATTCCGCGATGTTCAGTGTCTCCATGCAAGGATTGCTGCATCTGCAAAGATTGATCAAGAAGCTGCATGGCCTCTCCCAAACCACCCTTCATGGAAGTGACAGTACCAAGCCGATGCAAAGTGGCTGCAAGTCCAGGCGTTTTGCCACCTCCTGGCAATGCCAGCTGCATTCGTCTAGATTCTTCTAAGCAATGCAGGGCATACCTTAAATCCCCTGTCTCTGCACTGACGTCACCAAGTAAATGCAAACTGCTTGCGATGTCAGGATGTTCCGAGTTTCCATACAAGGAATGCAGCGTTTTCAAGCAGTCTTGCAAATACAGGAGCGCCTCCTTCAAATCTCCTTTTTCCTTGGACACTGCAGCAAGTTTGTGCAACGTTGCTGCAGTTCCGGGATGGGCGTGGTCGCCATATATAGCATGCTTCATCTGTAAAGACTCATTCAAATACTCCAGGGCCTGCTTCACGTCTCCAGACATGGCGGTCGCCACACCAAGCTGGTCTAACGTCGGGGCCCAAACATGCTGATCAACATCCTCAGGAGAAAGATACGCCCGTTGTTCCTGCAAAGACTCTTCCAAGTACTGGATGGCCTGCTTCACATCTCCGTGCTCAGCCAGCACAACACCAAGAAAGTGAAGAGTGGCTGCAATACCAAAATGTATATCTGAAGGATATCCTAAGCCTTGCTGTATTCGTGAAGACTTTTGCCAGTACTGCAAGGCCTGCCTCAAAACCGAACAGGCCTGATTCAGGTCTCCTGTCTCTGCTGTGACTCTGCCAAGTTGGTGCAAAATGCCCGCAACTTCAGCGCTCTTGTCATGCCCGGGTAAAGTCTGTAGCATTCGTAAACACTCCTGTAGATGGCGCCGAGCCGGCTCCATAAATCCGAATTTGAAGTTCACGTGAGCTAACTCATAGAGTTTGTCGCAAATGGCCGTGGTATCACCCTTCCCTCTCACTTCATGCAGCTGATGCTCCACGCCCAAAATCTCTTCAAGGTGCCCGGCCATGAAGGATTCAGGACGAACAGAGGAGTCAGGACTCAGGACTCTGTCAGCCTCCCGTGAACGCTGAAGGATCTCCGGGACCTTTTTCTGTGGCCATGACGCGACGGAGCGACCGCAAGTTGTGTAAGCAAAAGGGAAGGCCGTGAAGTCAGTTGAAAAGTCTGGTTTGCTCTCTAAGTGCTTGCTGGGGGTAGTGGCAAGACATGTGTATGCCGTACGAAGGCACTTTCTCTCTGAGCCAGGACATCAGGATGGACAAGGTCAGCAGTCAAAGTCCTATCGATTCTCATGACATTGCAGTTCGGCACTCATCCAAGCTTCAATGTAAAGTAGCAATTGTATGCGATTGTGTTCTTAGCAGCCACCACAAGACAGTGAGCATCATTGATCCACTCTGAAAGCATGAATCTCGAAATACGCAGCTTGCTCAAAAGAGGTGGCTACTCATGTTAAATATCAAACGCTGACTAAGTAAAGCACAAGTCGGAGAGAATGTTGCGGTCTGTCTCAGAATTCCAAGGTCCCAAGGTCTTCATACGAAGTTGAGGAGACGGGAGGTGGATGGGAGGTGGAGACAAAATAAACCAGGCCTGTTACATGCAACATGAAAAACGAGGGGTCATATCCAAAGTCTTATGCTATCATATGAGGGATTGTCAAGACAACGATCCTCGTTAGATGATGTTAGATGGTGGCTTCCTCTCGGCCAAACACTGTGAGACAGGCGCGTTTGAGGTGGGACTAGGGAGGTTTTGTCGTCGGCCCGAGAAGGAGTCCAACCTCCCAGTGATAGCTGTGGGAACGGCACAGCAGAGTTGAGCCGCGTTCCAAATGTATTGGACTTTGTAAGGATTTGCTTCCACACTTGGGCAATGCTCAGGCTTTGGCTTACGCTGTTGTGACAAATTTCCACCACGGCACAGCCGGCTCCAGCGGCAGTTCAGGCTGTTTTCCATGCAGAAGTATAGTCTCCAGAACTTTCAAAGGACAAGACAAGGGGTCAAACAAAAATCAGAAAGGAGCATTCTCAGATTTTTCTATCAGCAACTTTTGGCCAGTGTCCCCTCACAACTTGTGTGAGCTTTGTTTCGCACTGTCCCTTCACCCCAATCTTTGTCAGCAACTGTGCTTTCCAAACAATCTTGCAACATTGGAAAACTTGAATTTCCAAGGCAATTTCAAAAGAAACAAAAAAAACAAACAAGCACAATTCTGCACATACCATGAGGAGGAGGGGGTAGAGGGAGACTAGTCCTGTCGCACACAGAGAGACAAAGCGGAGCTTATGTGGATCTTTGACTGGATCAAGTCGTCTCACGCGGAAAGACCAAGCGCAGCGAACACGTGGATGTTTGACATCTGGATGACCAGTGAGGACTGAACAGTTCTTAGGCAACCATGAGCTCTTAGGGTGGACATGATGACATGTCCATCTCTTTCTAGCCAGGTGCAGCAGTTAGTGGTGGGAACCTGTTGCATCTGCATGGGGCCCCTCTGACAAAATAGACACACACACACACAAAAGAAGAACATGACTCTTCAAACTTCAAACAAAACAGCAACTGAGTCCACCTCGGCATCTCCTGATCAAACTAACAACTGGACAGCACATGTGTTGACGACAGCACCAGCCAAACAGGAACAAACCAAAGGGGTCGTCTACACCTGATCCTGGTGGTTGATGGCGATTGTGGCGGCAGTGGGGCGGGTGGCGGTGGCGGGACGGGGGTGTGGCCGTACGCTGTACGGCTACTCCGGGTGGGTGGGTGGGTGGCGGTCGTGCAACGTGGCAGTGACAGTGCTGATGTGCTGATAGTGATAGTTGCGACAGTTGTGGTGTATGTGCTTTGATGGTGCTTTGAGCGGAGTGTTCATGGTATAGCGGTCGGTGAATGTGAGTTTTGATGGTGTTTCGAATGTCTTCAGCACTTTTCTGGTCCAGCATTGCTGGCATCAACGTTCCTTCTCGGCACATTTCCACACACTTATAGGGTTCAATCTCCCGACATGTGGCGCAAGTTCTACAGGACCCTCGACATCATAGGAAGATCGGAAAATCTAACACAACAGAACGAGACACGAAACAATTCCTCTCAAGCTGCTGACTGGATCTCTTTTTCGCTGGCTTCTGGATGGTGAGTGAGACGCGAAACCCGCTCACCCGAAACTGGTCCATTCTGGCGCCCGGAGTGGCCAGTGGCGTTGAACTTCAACTTTTAAGCCTTCAAACCAATCGACTGCGACTCGTGGGTCCCTAAAGTGACGGGTCTCAGAATAGATGGCAAGTGGCCCCCCTACATGTCTTTTGATTCTTATAGATAAAGGGGTCCATCTACCTTTTGGGGACTATTGAATCTACTCTCAAACCAATGTAGTGGAAATTGAAAAAAACATTGAAAGAATCCAATTTAGACATCAGCGAAGTGATTCACTTTGGATTCTCGGTGAGCCGATCGATCCGGCCAACCTCTTCAAAAGAGCCCAGGAACTTCTTCGACCAGTTTCCTACGGGGCACCAGTCATTTACCAAGCTGGCAAAGAACGAAACAAGCTTGTGGGTGGCACCCTTTGCCACATCCGACATATGATAGTGACACTAACGTCCAACAAAAAGAACGCCGCATGGGAAAAAAACATATGTCCGCAGCATGCAAATGTATGCTGTGTCCAACCCAGTCCTTCAGTTCTGGATCAGCAAAATTGGAAATCAAGAGAGAAACGATCTCCCACTCCTCAGCCTCGATAGCAAAGTGAAGAGGCGTCCAGCCTTCCTTTTCTTCACACTTGTTGATGTCCACCCTCACATTCAGAAGCCATTTGACCACCTGCATGGCAATTTCAACAGCTTTCCGGATGCCCTCATTGATTGAGGTGTCAATGTGTCATATACGGCACTTTGCTCAAATGTAAGTGCGTGTGGTGTGCACAACAAGGGATACGTGACTTGCGCTCCTGAGGATTCGTGATTGAAACCTCAAGACAATATTTCGGTACATTTGAGTCATTTGAGTGAATTTCCATGGTTCTTTTTCTGTCTAGGTTTTGACCCGTCCCCAAGTCTTACATGAAAGGAGACAAAGGTCTTTTTGTACGTCTGATGAGGTCATATGAAATCACCGAACCGATTGTGGGTCATCACCTGTGGGCTGCTCGACATGATCTGGCACATCTCCGGAAGCTTCTCAGGAAATTCTTGAGCGAGCTTGCGAGAGTCGCGGCCAGACTTATCCTCCAATAGTGCGCGAAATGTATGTCATTGAGCTGGCCAAAACAACAAAACAATCACATGGTCGTGGGTCTCCCTTGTTTTACATAGGTAATCTCTAAACATCTCAAAACAACTGGCAGTGGCTGGATGATTTGATATGATTTGAATAACCGTACAACCAGAGCAGCTTTATCCGACTCAGTCCTTCTGTTCTGGCTTGACGCCATTCGCGACCAAAAGGTGGACCATGTCCAAATCCCCGCCCTTGTTAGCGAAGTGAAGGGGTGTTCAGCCTTCCTGTTTCTCACCCTTGTTGACCTCCACCCTCTTCGCAAGAAACAATTTGGCCACCTGCCATGCAAATGCTTGACGGATATCCTGATGCCTTGATGTGTTGTGTCACACTTGTCCTACAAATGGTTTGCTCGAATGAAAGTTATGGGTGTGTCTGTGTGTGCAGAAAGGGATATATAAGTTTGTGTTTTCCTCAGCATTCCTGCTTGAAATCTCAAACACTATGTTCAGATTCTTTCAGTACATGTGGGTCAATTCCGCATACAGAACGTAATGTCCGGTGTAATTATATGATCATCTCACTGGTGCTTGCCACTCCCACCTCTGGATGCCTGTTCTGCACTGCAACTGAAAGCGGAGTAGTCTCATGTGCGGGTGTCTTGTTTGCATCTGTTTTCTCCTCCAAGAGCTTCTCCACGATCCCAGAATGCCCTTTGGATGAAGCAATGTAGAGCGGGATCGCATTACTTGCAAGAGCTTGCTCAACATCTGCACGCTTCTTCAACAACTCACCCACAATGTCCGTGTGTCCCTTCCTAAGGTCTTTCACGCTCTGTTACAAATCTCCGAAGACTGTTCCACAAAAAAATGAAAACCTCTTAGCATCAAGTTAAGACTCTGGCAAACGATGAAAAGAGGTGTAGCTTCATTCTTGTTCCGATGGTTGACCGAAGCCCCTTTTCCTAGCAAGTGACGCACCAGGCTGGCGTGGCCATTTTGACAAGCGATATACAAGGGGCTCGTCCCATCGTGCTTTGGCTGGTTGACCTTCGATTCATAATTGAGGAGCTCAATCACAACCTCTTCATGGCCACCTTTCTTTCGGCAATGGCGTGACTCAAGCGACGGTGTGACTGGTGCGTTTGGAACGATACTGCAGGTACGGTCGAAAAAGGTCCAGTGATGTGGGTCACATCATAAGTTTCCCTACATTTGTGGATATTTGGATTTGTAGGGTAGCAGTTCT